AGTGCGAAATGCAGGGGAGACGATAGGCGACCATAAGGCGGTACCCAATGTACGCATGTCAGGGAGGATGACTAGGTTAGCGACAAAAGTAAGAGAGATACACCGACGAGACGGGCACGAAGAGTGCGTGCGTGTCGAACAAGGTGGCTTAAAAGTTGAGTGTTAACGCATTACCGCACGATAATTACGTAACGAGTCTGAGGGTTGCAAAGCCTAGGCTACTACTCTAGGATGCTATGCATATGTAGTACAAATGGAAGGAGTAGTCACTGAGATCCTCGTCGTCCATGCATGGCAATATATGAGTATGAATAGATCTCCAACTCCGTTTCAGGTATCAAGTAAGGGGTGTTGTCACAAGCACTCCAGAGGCTCCGTCTCCGTTTCAATGTAACAAACGAGCCAAGAAAAAGAAAAACGACCGATAAAGGACGAAAGGCTGACACACGTCAAAGGATTTCCAAGACTGCTGCCAGAATGTTCTTGGAAGTGATGTTGGTCCCGAGACCCGAGACGACAATCTCGTTCTCTGCAGCAACCCTCTTGTACTCTCCATTCGGCTGTTGCACGAGAAGTAAAGCGTTGAACGGTTGTCCGAGGCGAGCAATCATCTGTAGTGCTCGAGTATAGTCATCTACCTGAGGCATAGTAATAGGGACAACGTGTGATGGCGAAGGCGGCCCAACCACATCCGATTCAGCGTCGTGATAAACCGAGCCAGAGTCAGTATCCGAGTCAGAGTCATCTCTCCATGCAAACCCACTACTCGGACCTCGAATATGACGGATCCACGGATGCGCTAGGACGATTTTCCATGGCATGTTCAACGAGAGATCGTCTGCGGTCGTGAACTCTACTTGGCCGAGCCCCGATACCCTAGCATGATATAACTGATCATTGCCTCTGCGTGGCTTCTCGAGACTTTTCACAGAGAAGACGGTGCACGGAAGGTATAGACGTCGGGCGGCAAAACGGGCAGGGGGAAGACGGCTGATCTTATTATATATTCTCTGCGCTTCTTGCTGGGGCAACTTGTCGCGTAATTCTTTGATGCACCTTTCCATTTCTTCCCCGTCGAGTGATGGAGGGTTGTATGGAGTTTGGTTGTAGACGGAAACGGAAGCTGGGAGACAGCTGTTGTATGATGATGACTTCCCTGACCATGCGAGCACGGAGACCTCGCCGGAGCGGGCAACAATCTCCTCCAAGAGATGTCCGAGAGCGTCGGGTCCTTCGCCATAGCGAGGGTTAATGTCTGACTTGAATATGCCAATGAGAGAGTACGCGACGTCTTCCTCGACCGTCGCATTGCGCGTCGAGGCCAGACGAAGTTTTTCCCGGACCCCGAGATCGTCTGGAGAGAACGAGACGATATGTCCACGGAAAATCTTGATAGCGTCTGCTAGTTCTTGCATGATCTCCGGAGATTCCTTGTGGTTCGCACTAGTATCACCGAGGTATAATTTAAATTTGGAATCATAGAAAAGAATGACTTTTGGAGAGAGGAGCTCCTGTAAAGTCCATGCTCGAGTCATCCATAAGCTATGCAAAAGGTCCCCGGGCTTGGACGGATGCGCTACGCCGGCAAGGTATACGAGCGTGGCTGCCGAATTTGCATACCATTTGTACATAGATGTAAGGGATTGGTTGAGGATGGAGCTCATGGACTTGTCGATACAACAAGTATCTGACCATGCCCAATTATAACCAAGTCTGCGTGTCTCCTTGCAGAAATTTCGCAACTTCTCATTCAGGGGCATGTCAGGGAGTTTCCACACAGATTTGACTATGTTGACATCCTGGAATGACGGCTCGCTCCCCTCCCATGCGTGAGAGAACATCACATATCCAAAAAACCTTGCAACCACTCGTAGAATCCGCTCGTCGTCCACTTCTGTCGTCATAGATGAAACAAGCTCTTTGAATAATGGATGTGCCTTGAAAGTACGGATTCGCTCAGGGCCGTCACAAAGGCAACCAGTGATGACATCAATGACGATGAGGGGGCAGTTTCTAAGGATCCTGCGGACAACAGAATCAATAGCTGCAATCGTCTCTGACGGAGAAATGTAGTTCTTGCGCAGTTCTATGAAATCGTCAATTGTGGTAACAAATTCATACAGGAGGTACATACGCCTGATAAGAGGATCATGGGATTGTTCAATTACGTGCAGCATAGACTTGAAAGCATCGATCGCCTCGTCATACCGTTTTGCACCATGCAGTGTTACGTGTTTGACCTCATACCCCAAAGGGCTGGAGGGATCCGCTTTCACGGCCTAATGGTCATTGTAGGGAACCGACTCACACAAGAAGAATACCATTCATACCTCGTTCGCATCCTGTAGTGCATCCTCCCACAAACCTCTTGCCGCTCGAGTTCTACTCCGCATGATAAACAAACTTGTGGGACTTGGAGGCAACGCAGCAGGGTACTGTGTTATTGCATCTTCGTGTTTCGCAGATCCCAAAGCTTTGTTGCCAACAAACTCAGGTGTTAAAACGTATCTTTTGGTGAAATCTGATGATGGACATGAACGTGCAACGTCAACCTGACTAACACCTATAAGACATACCTGTGACCCAATCTGCAGTTTCCTTGCTCGCCTGAATCTCCTCGTCAGATGTCCTGACGATATTGAGGAGGATCTCCAAAGCTTCGGCCATACGTCCTGCAGCATAGAGCGTTTCACATAGACGTTGCTGGGCAGTAAGGTCCAACCCATTGAAACTCCACCCAAATATCTTCATATAGGGTCAGATTGAAGGGTAGTAAGAGCACAAGACCTACGAGCGAGATCGTCACCAGTGGAGGACATTGTTTGTTCATGGGGGCTAGGTTCTGCGCACGCTCGATCAATGGTATTGCTCGTCCGTAATTTCCGCTCTTCATGTACATAATTCCAAGGATCTGCGGAATGGATCAGCAACGATACTTTTACGCTCACATCATGTAGAGCACGTGCCTGGGAGTAAATGTAGGCGGCACCGTCGTCATCGTAGTTGTTGTTCGCTCTCGCAGTAAGGTACCCTACCCGCACAATCGCCTCTTCTTGATTTCCAGATTCGAACACAAGAATCGACTGATTGGGACATAGATTAATTGTGACAACCATCCATCTCGATCACCTCACATACCTTCAGTAGTAAAAGCAATCTGTTGTCATGCAATGCACAATCATGGGTGGCAAAGTCGAATGTCCATAGCGCACCCTCTCGATCCCCCTGGGCAAGTAGAACGACCGCCATCGCAATATGGCCGATCGGCGACGGCCGAACCCGGAGGGACTTGAGATGCATGTGTGAGCAAACATGTGCATGCAGTAGAGAAAAAGCAGACCGACCTCCTCAGCGTCCTCTATCGCAAGAGTCAAATGTCTCAAACGTGCTCTTACAAGAGCTCTGTTTGCTAGCACACAATGGCCAGGACTTGAAGCACCCGCAACCTCCTCCGACAGTAACACTTCAGTGTTCATCAGGTCGTCCTGTGTCCATGATGTGAGGGTCTCGTGGCTTAATTGCATGAGTGGGAGCTGGGAAGCATGGAGTTGCAGACGGATTAAAGCGTACAGAAGGCACGAGAACAGCATGACGATTCTTAGTGATGTGAGTTTCATGAGAGGATGTGCACTTACACCACCATCGAAATACTTATAGGGAAGGACTTCTCTGAGATTATGAACTGTGATGTTCCTGCCATTTCCACATGCGAGATAGCCCCCGCTTGGTGAGAGGGCAACGCATTTGACCTCTGCAGCGTGTGTGATAATGCTACTAATCTGTTTGTGGGACACACAATCCCATAGTGAAACCGATAAGCCTGCCGCGCATGCAATGAATCTGCCGTTGGATGCTATATGGACTGCAGATTGGTTTTCATGAATTGACCATTCCGAAGACGAAAACTTGGAAAGGTCGAAATAGATAATTTTGCCCTTGCTTGCGACGAACAGCGTCTGGCCATCGGGCGACCAGGCCAACGGAGCGACTGGCCATGCACCAGTTGAACCCATTTTACCTGAATCGAATAAGATACTGCCATCGTGAGTGTTGTAGACACGGAAGCCGTAAATCCACGAGGCGGTAGCAAATCGACTCCCATCTGGGGGAAACTTGACAGCAGTAACGCCATCGTGTGGAAGGAGAGGGAGAGCACAGGTATCAGACGTGAGGCTGAATATCAGGACAGTATTAGTACTCGTAGACGCAATTTTAGTACCGTCGCCCGAGATATCGACTCCGTGTACCCAGTAAGGATTTTCTGCGAACTCGCGCACTTTTTCGTGAGTGGCCGCGTTCCAGACGATCGTCTTCCATCCTCGGTCGCCGGACACAATCCACTGGCCATCCTGGGAGACGACAACAGATTCAATATGGCCACTCCCTTGCATGGCTGGACCCCGTTGCTGCCCATCTTCAATCTGCCATCGACGAATGTCACCGTTGGTATTTCCTCCTATGACCTGACTTTCGCCCGCGAAGTTGACTGCCCATACATCACTCTGAGATACAATGTCGATCTGTTTCACATCTTGACCACCCCAGCGAACTATCAGTAGGGCTGCCTCAGCCTCTGCGACTACTGGTACGCACCCATCATCATCGCTAGCAAGCCCATCAACGCAGCTAGTTGCCTTGGAGTTTAGAGGGGATAGGAACGATACGATGGCAATGCAGAGGTTAATACTCGCGGTACCTGATATGTGATCTGCACGCTGGGCAGTGCAGGTCTTATGTAGTAATGATCCCTGAGTGCTGAGCGCTGAGCTCTGCCAGATCCGGTGTTTTCGTCTGCACAAAGTATGTAAAGGACTACTGGGTCGTACTTGGGTATAAGTTGCAAGTCGCGGTCTCTGGAACTGTTACACAGTATGGTCCCATAGTCTTTCATGGTGCAAGTTCGTCTGAATCAATCGATCGCCATATAGTCACATGTATTTTTCTGATGCTCAACCGAGGTCCTGTTCGAGGAAATGCGTATGACTCATATTGGTTGGGTCCTACAGGATACACCGGGCTGGCTTCAGCGATTCATACTCTGCATCGACTGCGCAGATTGCTATAATACATTGTTGCGATCATGGTGATGAACCAGGCTACTTATCGATGAACTGCAATCAGAGCTCCAACATGACCCTCTCCGTCATCCACTCTTGAGCCTTAGAGTCAGAAAGCACAGAGGGAAGCTTGCTCTGCACAACGCTAAGATTCAGACTTTCTCCTCGCCACCGCCGATAATCTGCAAATGTTCCGGATTTCACAATGCGGATTGTGGGCAAACCAAATTCATCCGTGTCGAATGCAATTTGGTGTTCGTCACTGGTTGCAACGAAGGCTGCGAAAGCCTTCTGTCTCGCCGATTTCGCATTGGGGCCTAGCTTACATGAGTTTCGTGGTACGAGTCAACGACAAAAGACTGCAGTACCTATGTCGCCCTTAACTGAGATGAAAAATCCGACTGTTAGGGGGAACTTGCGGTCATCGACGACTGTTGTGAACTCTTCTACCTCTACTATATCCTTTCCACTAATCGCATGAATCACGCAGACGAGATCAGCTTCTGTGATCATGGCATGTGGCAGTCGGAGCTCCAGACTTCACGATTGTATATGAGGGCATCATAATCAGCAGATTAAACCAAGTCACCAAAGGAATTTTCCTCACTTCTTCCGCCTGGAGTACCTAAATACTGGCAGCCCATTACGCGGGTCAAATCCGGTGACTTGGATGACGTCATCTATAAAGTATCTCCATAGTCCATCATGGGTCGTTGATAAAGGTTGGTAGAACTTCCCCGGTTGAAGGTCCCACTGACAGAAATGCATCAGTCGAAGACCAGGATGAAGACAGGACGCTTACCGCTTGAAGGACTTGTCCATGTGTTCGTTCTTCTGTCATGTCAAGAAACTCGATGAGGTCGGTGGTTACAACAACAAATGTCTCGGTATCGTCGAAGTTAAGGGGTCTACCTATGAAGCATTCTGTGCAAAGGTAACAAGGGTTGTGGACGACTACATTTAGTCCAAGGATTGACCTCGCCTAACTGAAGTGAGGTCCACCGATCTGCTCTGAAAGGTGGACATCCTGACCTGGGGTAGTGCCCTGGCGAATGTACCGCTACAAACGCCTGAAAGGACCTTCAGATTTGGCCAAACACGTTGGGCCCACCCAGGACTAGAAAGAGGAGGTCCAATGTCCTGAAGTTCATCTGCCCGCTGTGGGTCTGCATGCATATTAAGCTGGTGTAGTCAGTTTTCGACACTATGCAACACCACTCTGATGACTCACCTGCAGGTAAGGCCGGACGTGGCCTATCTGTTCGAAATCTGGGATGGTTCCATTTCGAATGCTTGAAATGAGTGTGGGCCACTCCTCTTCGATGCGGTGTACCATGTCCATGAAAAGTACTACAAACATCGCAGCAATCCCCTCCAGGGATGTATTTGCCAAAGCAAATAGTGCATGGATCAGCAAGAAAGACCGATGGTGGGTGATAAGTCCTGTGGCCCACGGAGCTGTGTTGCCTGGAACTGTGCAAGGGATATCGAGTGTGAGTGATCACAATCAAAAAAATCTGAACGATTTGTCCACTTACTCATAGATGCCATGCGAGTGTCATCCGTTTCGATGGACCAATTGTGTTGTGTACGTGTTATCCCGGTCGACTCGTTGCAAACTGGAATCCTCGCCACGACTTCCCCAGAATCTGTTACGACGACTACCGGGTCTCTGTACGCCAAAGTAACAAAACGTGCAGCAGTTTCTACAGACAACGACGAGATGCCGGTAGAACGGGGCTGAGATCGAAAGTACTTGGCAAATTGCTTGGATTTCTTGCCCGAAGTGGCACTCGAGAGAGGGATGTAAGCGGGCAAACCCGGTGCAAGCATATTCTCGACTTCGGACAATCTGCAAGGGCGGGAATTGAACTTCTCAAAAAACGGACGGTAAGTTTCGTAGTCTGTTGGTGAGATAAGACGACGGAAATCGGAGAGGACAGTTTCGTCGTTCTGTACATCCTTATCTTTGACGGCCAGATAGAAGTCTGAGAGTTGGGGGGAACTACGAGCATACTGGGTCCCGATATTGGCCGCTATCAGGTTCCTTAAGTGACGGTCCGTGTCCTCTTTCAGGACCGCTTCAAGCTCTGGGGTCAAGGCAGTAATCGGGTGTACCGTGGTGGTAGGCATTGGTAGCTCAAGACCCAGATTGGTGAAGAGAGGTCGAGATGAACGTTGTTATATACTAGGAATCTCCACATGTCTATGGTTCCTTTTGCTGACTAGTGCGCCCCTCGACGTCACTGATACACGTGAACCAATATTTACACTGGCTGTTATCACAGTTTGTCAAGACTGATGGAACTTTAATAGACTAGCGAGTGCTAATCATACCTTCCTTGAACTGAGTGCTCGTTCAAGCGAACCAGATTCCAGTTCGTGTAAGTGATACGGCTCGTATCTGCAACTGTAGAAATGACTGGCTGTATTGGTTAATACCGATCCCTTGGCTATCGCAAACTTTTTCAGCGATCTGCGACTGGCAGATGAATGATGCACAAGTGAGTGGCGTCCTGTGGCGTCCAGGGCGACTACTCGGAACGGCCCGAAGCGAAGAACCGGTGAAGGATCCGCTTAGTCATCGTTGCAGCCATGCATTCTGATGCAGAACGAGATGCCAAATCAACTCTGGTCGGCGTTTCTGAGCCAAAAGCGTGTTGACGTGGTCAAATTTTGCTTCCAGCCAGACGAGTTACAGACGAGACATATAACTGCTGGTACCTGTCCTGGAACGAAATCATATTGCCCAAATGGTACCTCTCGTCGCATTCTTTGGGCGCCGGGGAGGGATGGGAATACCCTGTTCCCAGCCTAGACGGTAAATATGTAACATTCTATTGAACAATTTTCATGGGCGGCAGATGTCATCGTTGTCTATGAGGATGTTGTAAGACTCGCAAAGCACGTTCGGGTATTCCAAAGGTATTCATCTCGTCCCCCGTTAATGGCAATCAGGTGCACACAAGGGTACGTACTCCATGTTCTCAAAGAATCTAACGAGCGGGCTTGAGGGAGTCCTTGTAGATGCTTTTTCAGGTTGTGCGAGCCGGCCTGCTATGTCCTGCGATGGGCGTAATCTTGCGTTTGTCCGCCGTGTGCGGGACGTGGAAGCTCTTGCTCTCAAGTAGGTTTTCTCAACCAACTCCTCCCCTTAACATTTATTCCCTATTCAGGGATCTCGTACCCGGCACACTACGTGATATCTGGTTTGGTCTAAAATACGATCTCTCAATAACTTCTGCCCCAATAAGCACCTCATTGACGCCCGAGAGTCGCCCAGTCCATGCCGTGGGCGCATTCAGTAACGTCATACCATTGTGGTACAAGCTATCACACACGTCGTTGCTCGCCAAAAATACGATTGGCTCGCAGATCTTTCGCAGCACTTCGAGGTGGTTATTAAAAAGTGCCGTATAGTTCTAAGTAAACGAGCCACCACTGAAAAATCCGACTAGCAACACTACTAATGTCCGTTGCTTTTAGCCTCCTTGGCACACTGCAGGGAAAATTGTCCGGCTGGTGTAAATACGGGCTGCTCAGACATTCTACAGTCTCAGATTCGAATGCCATCGCACGGTTAATTGCTGTTCAGTGGCACTACAAAGCATTTGTTATAACTTGTGGTAAGGGAAAATATAGTTCCCAACTTACACAGACTTGAATAGCTTGGCCATTGCAAGAATCAGCGTTAGTGTCCGGGCTGCAAGCATAGCTGTCAAGTGCATTAACATTTCAAATACATCCAAATGAAAAAAGGCCAACACTTACTTGACATTATTGAGGTGTAAGCCGGTGAAGGTGGTCTTGGCAGAGTTGCAGTCGAACACGCCACCACCGCACGGCATCTGCCCAGTGGCCTGGTGAACGACGTTGCAAGAGTTATCGTACACCTGCCCTGGAATCATGGTCTGCCAGTGAGCACGCGTGTAGCTTGATGCTGTTAACACTTACAAACGCCGTTGTTGCCGTTCATTTGGCCTCCAGCCTGAGCGATACCGAACTTGTACCCGGGACAGATGGCAGACACAGAAGCCGCAAAGAGGACCGATGCAGCGACGGCAGAGAAGAATGTTTTGGTGAACATTGTAGTTTAAGAACTGAGAGACGGCTTTGAGGATAGAGGTGAGATTAGGCTGGCGATGTGGATTGGGGAACTCTTTGGCTATGGGGGGCAACCTTTTATGCATTTGCTGAGTCTCGATCCTTCCAATCGAGGTATGCGTTCCGCAGAGACAAGTGTACTGCGGTCGCAATGCAACATCTCGGGACGGGTGCAGTCCAGGCCTTCGATACGATCGGCCCCTGTCACATCCACACTGAGGTATGCAAATCATTCCATCAGACGTTCTTACCTTCTCAGCCCATGATCCGGAGATTGATACGGTAGTCAACCAATACGTGGGGGCATGACAGGTGATATGTGCTGCGGCCAACACAGAAGACACAACATCTATTGCAGGAGAAATGATATACCGGTAAAAAAACTGTCCGAAGCAGGCACTCAAGACTGCGCATTGAAAAATCCAAATATCCAAAACCTACTTCATTACCGTGTGCTTGGACGGATGCCGCCAACGAGAACCAAGGAAAAAAGGTACGTACCCGAACCAAACCTAGATTTCCTGCAGAAGTCCCCAGACGCCAATACGCTGTCGCGACTGCGCAGGATACCCTGAAAAGTTCAACTCAGTTCGAGTCGGGCGCCTTTTTTGCATATTTTTTTGCTGGTAGATACGCCAGTACTGCATCCGGACATGGTTGGCCGACGCAGGAAGCCTCGCTGGAGGTTGTCTTAATTATACAAGAATCTCTGTTACCAGGGCAGTCCATTCACATATGGTGAATGCCACCGCTGAGCAAGGTGTGAGATCGCCACCGGTGAAGAAACATCTCAGTGGTGAAACGCACAAATCTGGACTTCGTAGACATCTCTGGCAGTACGTTCAATTCGAATTCGTTCGATGACGATGAACCAGTACACGCTACTAGCCACGGGCCGACACGCTGCACAGTGTCTTGAGGATCGGTCCAGATTAAGTCGTACTCCAAGACTCCGCTTCAGATATAAACCGGCTACACTGGTTCAGCGTGATTTGAGATGGGCAGTTACCGCAGTCAGGGTATGTCTTTTCCCTGTGGCGCATACACCATTCTGGAAACGCAAGAGTGAGCTGTCCACGTAGTGATATGCAGTTGGTGTGTCGCGTTTCGGCCGTGAACTTATTGCAGACGGCACTGGCATCTGCGAAATATACATTAGTTTGCTGTCGATGTACATAATAACATGGACTGGGGTACCGGCATCTGAATGGCTACTGGTCGGTCAATATGTCGTATGGGTGAAGAGAACAAGGTACCTTGAGGAACTCGTGAACCAGACATAGGTAGGTATATGTAATTCCACCTTGATGCGTCGTTCCTCATCTCCGCGCCCTGTCGATGCATCATGCGAGACCGAAGTAATGAACATCAAGCGAAAGGTCGCGAAATTCCCAATGTCCACTTTTCGGGTATGCTGGTGCGATTTGTCATGTATGCCATCTCTATTCACGCCGAACGTCACTGATTGGCAGGCAGTAAATCAGATATGCTACGGAAAGTAGCATCGAGGACAACGCACTCGGCTTCTATCACCCCATCACAAAGAAGCGTCAGGTAATTTGGTGCTACTGTAGGGTGGGCGAGAGGTTAGAGGGGCCTCCATTAAATGAAGGGGCAGGGGAGGTGTTCTAAATTGTCAGTGAACTTCACGGAATAATCTCTTGCATACTTAACTCTTATTCTTCCATTCAGGACATGGTGTCGCAGAAATCCCTGGATTATAGTACGTTGGCGACTGACTCACCTGCTGGCGGGCAACAGAACCCTTGTGTTCGCACGAAATAGTGGAGAACGTGATCTTGCATAGAAGAACACTGTACCACGACCATCCATCCGAATGATTCGTTTTGCGCTGTGCTCACGTTCTCATACCTAACAAGAGACACAATGATGGATCGTGGGGAATGTTGGGAATGGTCATCCTTTGGTGGTTATTAGCACGTCCCGAAACCAAGCAAATGTCGTACATACCGTGTCCGACAAAGGAAGTGCTACGATGCACACACCCTTAACCGTCTAACCAAACAGTGCCCCACGATTCCCTTTGCCGAGGCTACAACAGTAAATAAGTTCAGGACGCAAACAGCCCCGCTTTCGCAACCCCGTCCACTCCACCATCATATTCCCCCATATCAACAATCAGGCCATCGCCCACATACTCCAATCCACCCATCCACCCTCCTACCCATCATCTGTACGAACACAGCTCGAGCTTCATCGAGTCATACCTGCATCGACTGTGCAGATTGCTATAATAGGCTGATCGGGTGAATCGCGCTGACAAGATCAGCTTCTGTGATCATGGCATGCGGCAGCTGGAGCTCCAGGCTTCACGATTGTGCACGAGGGCATCATAGTCAGCAGAGTATAACAAGTCACCAAAGGAATTTTGCTTACTTCTTCCGCCTGGAGTACCTAAATACCGGCAACCCATTACGCGGGTCAAATCCGGTCACTTGGATGATGTCATCTATAAAGTATCTCCATAGTCCATCATGGGAAGACACAGGCTGGTAGAACTTCCCCGGTTGAAGGTCCCACTGATGGGAACGCATCAGTCGAACACCAGGATGAAAACGGGACGCATACCGCTTGAAGCACTTGTCCGTGTGTCTGTGGTTCCGTCATGTCAAGAAACTCGATGAGGTCGTTGGTTGCAACAACAAATGTCTCGGTATCGTCGAAGTTGAGGGATCTGCCTATGAGGCATTCCGTACATAAATAGCAAGAGTTGTGGATAACTACGTTCGGTCCAAGGACTGACCTCGCCTGAGGTAGTACCGTAGCGAATGTACCGCTACAAACGCCTGAAAGGACCTTTAGATTTGGCCAAACACGCTGGGCCCATCCAGGACTAGAAAGAGGAGGTCCAATGTCCTGAACTTCATCTGCCCACTGTGGGTCTGCCTGCATGTTAAGCTGGTATAGTTAGATTCCGTCAATATGCAGTACCACTCTAATTACTCACCTGCAGGTAAGGCCGGACGTGGCCTATCTGTTCGAAATCTGGGATGGCCCTATTTTGAATGCTCGAGACAAGTGTGGACCACTCCTCTTCGATGCGGTGTACCATGTCCATGAAAAGTACTACAAGTATCGCAGTGATCCCCTCCAGGGATGTATTTGCCAAAGCAAATAGTGCATGGATCAGCAAGAAAGACCGATGGTGGGTGATAAGTCCTGTGGCCCACGGAGCTGTGTTGCCTGGAACTGTGCAAGGGATATCCTGTGTAAGTGATCACAATCAAAAAAATTTGAACGATTTGTCCACTTACTCATAGATGCCATGCGAGTGTCATCCGTTTCGATGGACCAATTGTACTGTGTGCGTATTATCCCGGTCGACTCGTTGCAAACTGGAATCCTCGCCACGACTTCTCCAGAAGAGAAGTCGAGATGAACGTGGTTATATAGTAGGTATCTCCACAAGTCTACAGCTCCTTTTTTGACTAGTGCACTGTCGTCACTAATACACGTGAACTGATATCCGCATTGGTTGTCATTACACAGTCTGTCGGGTTTGATAGACTCGTGGGTCATACCCTGAGCTGAAGGCTCGTTCGGGCGAATACAGTTTTTCGTGCGGTAATGCGGCTCGCATCGTGTAACCGTAGAAATTGACTGGGCTGTATGGGTCAATGCTGATGGATCCTTTGATTAACGCAAGCTTCCTTCGGTGCCCAGAGGGCTTTTGCAAAAAGTTGTGTATCGGTTATCCGGCACGGCCCGAAGCGAAGAACGCCGCAGGGACCGTCTGCTTGGTCGTCTTTGTAGCCACGCATCTCGACTCACACGACGCGGGATACTAAATCAACAAAGGACTCCAGGCTGGCTACCCTTCACTTTATCTTCCATTTGGGCGTCGCGGCAGAGCGACTGGAGCTGTTCTTAACTCTGGAAGAGAGCATCCCATTCTAATGTCTTCAACCCTCTTCGCACTTCTGTCCGTGAATTACCTCTCGACTTCACCACAGTAGCCCAGATTACGATGACCCGGCGTCCGAGTTCAAGGGTGACATCTTCCGCCTCCGTCGATCCGGCACGTGGGATATACACACACATCTACCCACTTCCCGTACGCTGAAGCATGACATCGAGGAGGGCACCTGGCTTCGTTTGGACGTGTAGTCAGGCTGGTGATGACTCGTCTTTGACATGACCGCCCACCTACGCGAGCTTTCCGCGTCTTATATCCACGAAAATCTTGTATTGGAGACCACCACGTGAACGATACCTGTTCTCGCTGGGATACCACACGACTCGGACCCGAGATTTTCATAGGAAGGCGAGGTTCAGGAGTGATGCGGGTTTGAGTG